GTACTTTTCATGCCCTCTTCACATGTGGGACTGTCCATAATTTTATCCCCAAACCACTCATTCTCTTCAGATTACTTTATGGCGCTTTTAGCAAAAATGGCAGTAACCCAAGGCACTAACTTTTCTCCAAAATCCTCTTGCAAACAGTTTTCAGGCAGTCCTAGTATTAAAACCTATACATCTATAATTTTTCTATAAACTGGTAAAACCAATATGTCTCTGTGGTTTGCATTTCAAACTGCAGTTTAAACAAACAGTTCAGAAGCCAAGGTAAGATCCACTTTCAGATCTCTTTCTCAACCCTCAGATAAATGACTTTGTGACAAGACAGTGAAACTCTGGTCACATTCTGTTCTGAAGCTCTGCAAATCTTGCTTTCCACATTTAAGGAGCCCACACTGGACCTAATGTAGGACTCTCCTCTTTCTCTTCCCCTCCAAGCCAGCTGGCTCCTTGTCCTAAATGAAAGGAGAAGGCATTCTTGGACTAAGTGGCCCTATTATTTCTCTGGGTGATGTTGTTTCCTTCTTCTGCCTTTGCCAGTTCATCTTAATCTTACAACACAGTGTCTCTACTCCAGGAGTCCTGCAGCTTTCTTAAGCAAATCTTGAACCTTGCTGACCTGCAGGAGACCCCTGGGACATACTTGAAGATAGGCTGGATTCAAAGACTGAGACACATTTTCAGTTCTGGAAGATCCTTAATCTCACGTGATCTGGATCAAGTCACTTATCAATCTCTTTCCTTCAAAACTAAGAAACAGTTGATTCTATCAGTTGACTAACTCCCTAAAAGCTTTATAGGGAAAACGCCGAAGGCATACGAGACCTTCTGAAACTTTTACCTCAGTAACCTTTTACAAATTCCCATATAGGTAAGAACTCCTGCTGAAGGGAATGGGTCAGATACAGGTGCTTTGATCAAGGACTCACCTGCCAGATTCCTCCCCTGTTAATACCACTGACTTCAAGAGGAATTACACCATGAATCAGGTCCAGAGTCATACCAATCTTTGCTATGAATCTGATAAAACGTCATTAAAATGAGTAGAGCAGCATTTATCATACAAATCTGAGAATGAAAATGCCCTTCCTCATTTTTAAAGAGAAAATGAGATTTAATAGATAAATTAGGCACTTTAAGGCTAAGACGCAAATCAATGAAAAATTCTAATTTGGACTCTACTATGGCTTATTTAGCTTCTTTTCTGTTGACAAGCAATGCAAATTCACATTTCTTTGTGCTTTTAATAAAAAGTAAATGATGTTACATACCATGAGTTTCATTGTCTGAACAATAAAGCTAAGTACAGAACACAATGGCAGCATTACTAATTATTCCTTCTTTTGTTAGTTTAGAGCCTAACCTTAACACTACTTTGCAATACCATTTTTACTGAGCAGAGTACATTTCTTTGTTGTTGCTCTTTAGCTGAATTCCTCTCCCAACAGGCTGGCACAAATTGTCTTTGCAAGGAAACTATATTTCTCCTTCTGTGATCCAACACTCATGAAAGTTTTAACTAATTCATTATAGTCATGGAGAATGATGTAGAAATAGCAGAATTTTTTCCAAGCTCTGTTTCAGAATAGAAACACCATTAATTTAAAAGGCACATTTTCATAACAGCATCCCTTATCGCTTATTGCCATGACCAGCACCCAAGAACAATGTGAACTGAGACACAATTCCCTCTTTTTTTTTTTGTACTTTCAGGAGTGTGTTTTCTGCTACTTTTCTCATAACAAAGTGAATTTAAACATTTCACATCACAGCATGAGAAATCATTTTAGCACAGGGAACCCACAAGGGGTACAGAGCTACAATAACCACCAGTGTTTGGAGGTACAATATGGCCCTCCTGTTGAGCAGAGACAGATTAAAACCCACTGCAAAGTCCCAGTTTCCTATGGAGGAGAAACCAGTAAAAGGCATTCAGAATAGTTTTACGTGAAATGCAGTCATCTACAAGCCCATCAGTTTTAAACAGAGTTATTCCAAATTACACACAAACAATTCTACTTGCAGAACCACTAAAACATTTCAAGGAATCTGATAGCTTGGTCCTTACCTTCTTTTGAGACAATCTAGGCAATTTGGTTTTCTACTTCTCTGAAGGAAAACCTCTTCTATTAAAACCAATATATTGGCTCAGTCCCTGGAGTAGGGAACATGGCTGGGAGGAAAGTTTGTTTCTAGAAGGTTTCTGTAACCTGACTAGCAATTCACTTAATCATAGAAGGAAGAGACCTCTGGAGACCACCTAGTCCAGCCTTCTACTCAAAGCAAGATGATCACCAACACCAGATCAAGCAGGCTGTGGCTCTGCCCAGCCAAGTCTTCTAAACCCCTCTGGCATGGAGAAAGCAAGCCATCTCTGGGTGACCTGTCCCAGTGCTGCACCAACCTCCTGGTGAACAGATACTTCCTAATGCCCACCATGAGCTACCCAAACTGCAATATGTGGCCACTGGCTCTTGTTATATATCATTTGCCACTACTGACAGGAGTTTGGCTCCACTGCCTTTGTAACTGCCCTCTAGGTTGCTGTACGCCAAAATATCTTCCCCCAGCTTCTCTTTCACTAGACCAAGCAAGCCCAGCTTCCTCAGTGTCTCTTCGTAGGTCCCCTGACCAAATTTTTACCCCTCTGACAGACCTCTTCCAGCTGCCCAGTATCTCTGTTGATCTGGAGGGCCCAAAACTGGATACAGTATTCCAGTAGTGCTCTCACCAATGTTGAGAAGGGTAACAACTTGCCTCCATCTGGCCATGTCCTCCAAAGGTTCACCTTACTTGCAGTGAGAGTACACTTTGGCTCATAGTCAGCTTGGGATCAACTGTACACCTTCAAGTCTGTTTTAAATCCTCGGCTAGCAGAAGAATGCCAAGACTTGCTGGCATGCCTCACAGCCACTCAAAGGCTGTCCTTAGTGGTCCAAGGAAAGACATATGGTGCAAGACCAGATGAGGAGGGGAGAATTTTAACTCCTTCTCACGGATAGCCAGGAAAGTTTAATCTCCTCTTTCAAATCTAAGTGTAGTGACACAGTCATAGCCATGCCCTAGAGCTATACACCTCAACAGGTCCTTTTCAGCAGCTGACCATTTTGCCAGGATGTGCCATTTTGTTCAAGCCAAGTCACTCAGGCATGTCAGCAAATGTGGACAGAGACTTTTGGTATAGAACCCCTCAATCATTTCTGGCCAATGAGATCCAGTTAGAAAGCTCAAGTTTTTAAATCTTACATGAGACACTTCAGCATAGTTCCATTTCCTGAGGGAAAAAACTTCAATGTTTGAATTTGTTGTGGTAAGATAAAAAATAATTCTGCATGTATAAAAGTTGCTGCCAAATCAAGCTGTTCTCCGATGGACAGTATGGCTACATGCAGTTTTAATAAATAATTAAAAGAAGGCAGGTGTTGTATACATACAGTTTTCATGTTGAAAAACCCATTAAAGCCTCAAGTCTGCACATCCTCCAACAAATGAATAACTGTATGCACAGGCTGTCCACATACAGTAGCATTTCCATAGTCATAGCTCCAGTGTTTTTCATACCACACATTTTTAGACTATTAAAGCCTTGGTGGTGTGACAATGACACAATTTCCAGACAGCAGCAATGTACTTTGTGAAACAATTTCAAGTGGAACCTTTAAGCCAGTGCATTTATAGATTCAGAGCAAGTGCAGATATCAAGTATGGCTCAGGTGAGTGGTGCATTGGCAGGGGCTTATCTCTTAAAAGAACTAAAGCACACAACCATACCCATTTACCTTACTAAGAGAGAATTCCTTGAGGAAGAGCAACTATGTCATTTAGTATACAAATTCTCCTGAAGATTTCAGTATTTTCTTTAGAGCTTACTTTTTTTGCTAGCAGGAATTTACCACACAACCTAGTTTTCCTTTCAGAGATGACTAGTCACACACACACAAAAAACCCCAAAACTCTCTAGGAAACACATGGCTACACAAAGCAGATGAAGGTATAAAAGGAACAAATGCAAAGCAGATGAAAAAGGACGGAGCCACCTTACACTCACCTTTCAGAACTGGAATAGACCAAAAGCCTATAAAGAAGAGAGCTGAATATGCCCTCTTCACCCCCATCAGTAAAGCAGCACCAGAAGAATTGTCTCAGAGCCAGTTATAAGTGAAATCGGATTGTGAGAGGAAAGTGGTTAACACTTCACTTCCTTGAGATGCATCCAATATCTGTATCATTTTGGTGTGCCCTGTGTTGTAGGCTGTAAACTCTTTGCTGTGTATTATTAGCAAAGTAGCTAGCAAAAGAGCATTCTGGTCTGACTAAACCTCAGGATTCAGTCCTAGCAGTAGCCAGTGATTTAATCGGTTAAAAGAAACAGTAAGCTTAGACAGACCCACCATAGAAGACCAAGACATGGATGGGCTGACACTCCTATAGCTCACAGCATTTACTTCCAAACACAGCATTTTAAGAGAATAATTTTTATCCTGGTTCCAAATGCCTTCTGAAATTCTGAGATGCTTGCTGTTCTGAAAGAGTACTGAAAAAATAACCATTTCAGAAAACAGCCAATCGCAAAAGTAAAAAAAAGCATCTTCTTCCCCCCCACCACCTTTAAGCTACTGCATGCTCTACTAACCTCAACAATAAATTGTAGACATGCAAGATCATAGGACAGATATTTGGCAGCACAGCAATACTATATTTACTTCAGATACTTTAGAATTGGGAGGCAAAAATAAGCAGTTGTATGAACTACTGTATCTACAGTTTCTTGCTGTGCAAGGGGCCATACACCCCACTGCATCAGGCTCTGGGAAAGTTCCCCAGTGTCGGCTGGGTGGCAGTGGGTCTATCAAGAAGCCAAATAAAAAGCAGCTGTGAAAACCCACTCCTTTTACTCGCTTTGCTTCGCCATCCGCAACAGACTCTTTCCACCTGTCATGACTACCCACATGGGCAATAACGTTTGTATGCTAGCCAAAACATTAAGATTTCCTTACCTTTCTTCCTCCACCACGGCCCTTCTTGGATAGAGTATGACAGTTCTTTAAACTCAATATTCACAGCTGGTCTGCGGGGTAGGTAGGAGAAACGATGAGCTTCTGTCAGAGTATTGTCCACTTTTTTTAAATGTCCATTCATCAGTCGAACATCTTGGTTATCTGTGCCATTTGAGACCACTTCATCCACCGAAACACACACTGACTTTGGCTCAGCCATGGTACAAGCAGAATTGCTGCCGTTCTAGAGGAAAGAAGTTGGAGAATGGACAAATTTCACAGACTTTTGTTTAGGAACACGTTTCAAAACCTCCTGCATCAGAAAAATTATTATTTAAATAACACAAGAATCCAGCACAGTAATGTGCTGAAAGGGGAAAAAAATAAAACGATTTTTTGTTTGTTCTGCCAGTGTCTTGACAGAAGAGGTAAAAGAGCTCTTGGACTTGCAGCACACAAAGGACAGTTCATTTAGCACCAGTTTCCCCTCAAAGGGTATATACACAGCAAACTAGTATCTTCAGAACAGAGTAGCTCTTGCACCAGATTAATAAATTTATAAGTTCAGTCCCCATTGTATTTGGTTTCTCATGCACTCAAAGAATTTGGTTCTAGCTACTCTGATTCCACTTAGCTCTTATTCCTTTGGATCAGCATATACTCCGTAAACGTGAAACTGCACAAGTTATATTTCTGTGAATTTTAAAATGTACTAGTTTGTGCTTTAGTTGCTGCCGCACTGATAGTTCTGGGGACTCTGCAACCTGGAACAGTACAACTTCTTTCCTAGAGGTCTGTTAGGAAATCACAGCGCTTTCCACCCAAATTCCTTGCACACTTTCCTTGCTTGGCAGTGATCCCTAATGGAAATCTTATCAGCTACATAAACATATTAAACCCAGCTCCAGTACTGCACCATTGACACTGTAAGGTCAATGCTTTATGCTTACAGCCATACCTCTTACTACGCTTTGCCAGTCGTAGCACTCAGTGCAATTCCACTTGGCAATATTTGGACTGAATCTCTTCCCCCTCCTCTCCTGACCATGACAATGGCCTGCTACCTGCCCTTCTCTTCTTTTTCATTATGTACACAAAATCTGAACTTTTTCCATTCCTTTTACCTGCATGAGCACCTTGTACTGATATCAACAGGCTGTGTGTAAGGCCAAAAGTAAAACAGTCATGAATTTTCTTCAGCTAAACAGAATTTTAAACAGTTCAGAGGCTGTTCATTGTAATCTGTTGTTTGGAGTATGTCATAAGCAGGGCCCAACATCTGCAAAGTTGTCTATTAGAAAAATCAGTACTTTTAATGTAGATCTGTATTGGAAAAGACTTCTGTAGCTGGCTTATGTGCTGCCCCATCTACCCAACAATCTACATGCCCCCAAAGGTATCTCTTGGAAGGTGTACATGCTGCACTATTTTTCAAGGCATCAGTGTTGAACACCCCCAAACAGAGAGCTACAGGTCATGCCAGTGTCTCCCCCTACTTGTCCTCCAATATAACTAAGAAGTCACACTGCATCCTTTTCACTGTGCCATTTTCATCCTTTCTGTCACGGTTACTGGTCTTCCCATTTATGTTGTAAAAGCAGTGCTCCTCAGATTGGTCACTTGTCATGAGTGTTGATGAAAAACATTAAAAAAACAGCCCTACATAACCACTGATGAAAAATATTTTAAAAAATCATCCTATATAACCACTATATAGCTAGCGTCTTCACATTCTTCATGCATATGCCCCAATTCTAGACATAAAAATCAGCTCTGCTTGCCACATTTTCTCACGAAAAAGATTTTAATTGTGCTCTCAACTTACTAAGAGGTCAGGTATCCAGTAACACTTACTCCCAATTTCTTAAATAGTTGATTGTAATGGTATGTAATTTGAACATAATAAAAGTAATGTGAAACATCTTAGAACTGAACAATTAAAGTAGTGGAACCTCCCTCCTCCCTAAAATATAAGAGAAGATGAGTTAACAATATTCTTTTCTCAGTGTTTTCTGTGGCACTCATAAGCTGTTTGGTTCAGAGGAACCACTAAGCACCTTCACACGTCAGAGGGAATATCCGAAAACTAACTCTCAATGAGCAGGTAGGTCACCTTGAGTATTCAGGTGACAGTCGGAGCTTCTCCAGTTTAGGTCAATACAAAAAAGAGATCCTCTGGACAAGGTCCGTGTTTCTGCCTACTTAATCATCTGCGAGTATGAAGCCAGAGACTTTTGTTCCCGAGACATTAAACAAACCGTTCCAATCACGCAGTGGACCCAAACGCCTGTTTTCAGCAGAGGGTGACAGAGTCCTGCCAGCCCTGGGTCCAAACCCACCTCCTGCAGGGACCCCCTGCTACGGGCGAGGATTCCCCCGAGAGACTGGGGCGGCACAAATGGCTCCCAGTCGCGGGATGGTCTTCGCTCGCAAAGAGGTGGGCAACGCCCGGGGTTACCACAGCCACAGACTTACGCGAGCCCCGCGTAACGGCTCCTCAAACGCACCTGAACCCCCTTCGTGTATCTGCTAACACCAACTGACCGTTCGTTCCTCCACTGACATACCGATGCGTATCTACAGCCGCGCACGTCAAACTGGTGTCCGTTTCAACCCCCCCTGCCCAACAGGCATGAAGAGCATACGTTCTCAGATCTTCCTCGGTTCCGTACAGTTTTATTTCTCACACAGTTTTATCCCCCCGCAAGGAGCTGGACCGCTTCCCGGCGCCCAACGGGCACGGCAGCCAACGCCCCCCCC